TACCAGTTCCTTTCTTCTCTCTGGACTCTGAAACCATCAACCTAAGATACACTCATGGAGTCATCCCTACTTTCACTGGTAGAGCTGTGCCCACGTATTTTCTTTTCACTTGAACACCCAGTGGCAATGGACTTTTCTTTGGTCATCCCCAAACACATCAGTGTCCATCACATTACAGAGTCCAGCACTGATTCCAAATTGACAGCAGGACACAACACTGGTCAGACAAGCAGACACCCAAGCCCAACCGCAACAGAAATACTGGTGTTGGATCCAGAAGCACTGAGCTGTCCAAATATGCTGGACTTGGTTGGATTCAGGAGGGAATAATGTCCCCTTTGCCAGAGGCATCCCTAGGAACTGATGGGACATCACCACCTGCGATAGTGAAGGGATGAGACCAAGGCTCCAAGGTTATCAGGACTGTTGCCCACTATAAAAAATTTGGTCATCTGGTAAACTGGGACACCAACCATGGGGTATTAACTGGGAGAGTGTCTGTGGACTCACTTTGCTGAAGGGCAACTTGCCATTGCATAGGAAGACCTGAACAAGAATGATGAGTAGGCTGAGAAAGTTGGGGCTGTTCAGCCTGGAGAAGAGAAGGCTGAGTGGAGACCTCACAGCAGCATTCCAGTATCTGAATGGGGCCTACAAGGAAGCTGGAGACTCTTTATCAGGAACTGTAGTGATAGGACAAGGAGTATGGGGATCAAACTGAAGAGGGGAAGTTTAGGTTAGATATGCAGAAAAAAATCTTTACTGTGAGGGTGATGAAGCGTGGCAAAGGTTGCCCAGAGAAGTTGTGCATGCCCCATCCCTGGAAGAGTTCAATGCCAGGCTGGATGAGGCTTTAAGCAGCCTGGTCTAGTAGAAGGTGTCCCTGCCCATGGCAGGGGATTGGAACTGGATGATCTCTAAGGTCCCTTCCATCCCAAGCCTTTCTATGATTCTATTATTCTAAATTGCTGCTCCTGAAAAGGGCCTGGCTGTTCACAAGCATCCACATCCTCAGAGCTGGAGAGTCCAGGCTCCCTTCAGTTTTGGTGCTGAGCACTTTTGCTGACCTAAGGTAAACTTGTATCAGCATCGTATCATCCACGTGAATGATCAGAGCAGCCACAGCTGTTCTCCTGCCCCATGTCCTTGGCATCTCCCCTCCTCGATGGGTACAAGTTCTTGCCCTCTGGCACTGTGTTTGGACATGCAGAACAACATCAAACCGTCTCCCCTCTTGCTTCCTTCCCCTTCTCCCGGGGCTGCCAGCCTGTTTTCCGCCTGACTGGGACTGATGTGAACTTGCATCCAGAGCAGGACAGAGGCAGGCACTAAAGCCAGCAAAGGGTGGAGGCAAATAGCAAGCAAAGCCTCCTCAGGACCCACATCTCTTTCAAGCTTCCAGCCCATTTTTCCTAATCCACCTGCACCATGAAGGAATATCTGCAACAGCAGTGATCAGAGCCCTTGACAAGCAGGAATATGGCTTCAGGCACATCAGCACCAACACCTAACATCAATGTTCATGGTTTGGGGTCTATCCATATCTGTTTGGCCACTTGTACCACCATTAGTGTAATCAACACTTGTGGTTTGGAGAAACAGGGAAGCAAAAGCAGCTTGAAACCTTTGCACTGTTGAGATGCAGACAAGATTTTTCTTCCAAAATAGGAACCAACTTTGGAAAGTAAGGCTGCATCTCCAGTGGGGCTGCCTACAAACATTCCCAAAAGAGCAGAAGTAAATCAGCAGCATTTGGGTCAGCAGTGGGTCACATTCACCCCAAATGGTACACCAGGCACAGGACTAATTTTGAGGTTAAACCACCTACATTCAGGTGTGTCCCTGCACACCAGGTACCCAAGTTTCTACTACAGAAAGAAGATATATAATCAATGCAGACAGTGGAGCAAACACAGAATGGGTTGCCTAGGCAGCCTATATAGTCAGCATACAGCTCCCTAAACACAGGTACCTCATGACATTTGGGATGGCCTAAGGGACTGAAATGTCTGGGAAGATTTACAGGATGTCTTACAGGATTCCCGGCAGCATGCAGAGGCCAGTAGGATACCCACCTTAGATGAACCTAGATGATTGCAGACATCTACTTTTAGGCAACAGAATCTCACCCCTGGTGTTTATAAGCCAGGTTCTACCTGCTGCAGACCACATCTCCATTGACTAAGGGGAGTTTAACAGGCCAGTCTCCATGCCAACACCTACTCATTCAGGTGTCCCTGTCTGGAACTGAATCCACCCAAATGTCTATAAAGTCGGTGTCCACATCTGAGTCAGCTGTTCAACACAAGGATTCACCTCACCAAACGCAGAATGAGGTAAAATATCCCCTGAACTTCATCAGCCCTGATGGCTTGTTCCCCTCTGCCTGTGAAGGGAGCTCAGGGTGCTTTGTTCAGATGTGTTCACAAGTCAGATGTTCACTGCCATAGCTGACAGGACATACCATCCCACTGATTGCAGTGCAAGATCCAGCTAACCTATGAGAAACATGAAGATCACATATTTGTGCCTGACCCAGCCCAAATTTGTATTGTCATTCGATCTAGCAGCACACAGCTGTCTCAGTGTCACCAACTAGATTTGTCATTATTTGCTGTGCCAACTTGTGATGATGTTGAATACATGCTCCCTGAGCTGAGTCAGAGCTGAAACAGACTTTACTAAAATTCCACCAAATCGTGGAAACCAAAGATGGGAAGCTTCTACCCCAGAAAAAAATTGACCACAGAATCAAGAAAAAAAAATGTCCATGTTATTCCTTTGTTCCACCAAGATAGAAGAAAAATTAAGTTTCTAGATCCATCCTAATCCTTCCCTGATTTAGGCTACCATGTGGGACTGAGATTGCTTAGAACTAATTACTACTTATTTATACTGCTGTAGTACTTAGGGAGCTCAGTTGGAGATTAGGGCTAGTGCCAGCTCCTGTTCGCTGCCCCAAAGAGTTTACAGTGCGAGTAAAACAGTGCCAAGAAAACTAATTTGTTCCAGATGGGCCACAGAGGACCTGCCAGAAGTGAGCAAATGTTCATCGTGGCTTCTGAGCTGATTTAAAATGACCATCTACTAATGAATTTCTCCTCATCTCCCACTACCAACCACTTGATCTCGTGCATGATAACAAGTGCAGGAAAAAAAACCTGCTTGAGAATATTGATGGCACCAGCAGGAACAACAAGGGAGGATGAACTGCTGGGAGCTAAAGGAATCTCCATAGAAGATAATATTTTTGGTTTTAATTTGGCAAGAAGCAACTCTGTCTGATTAACTAATTAGTCAAAAAAAACCCCACCTGGTAGGAACTAAAAATTTTAATAATATGGCTTAAGGCAAACTTCATGTTGTGAAGCAAGATAAAAAATTAAATCAATGCACCATATTTTAATGGGTGGATTCCACCATGTCATCTTGTGATTCAAAACTCCCCATTGAACAAAAATGTCAACTAGCTAAATAATAACTGAGAAAGTCATTTTTCTGTTAAATACAGACATAGAAAAGTAAGGTGAACCAAATTAGAAGCTGTGTTTAAAAATAAAGATTCTACTTAATTTGAAATGCATGGAAATAGTTCAATATCCTTTAAAATTTTCAATAAAAGACTTTGCTTTTTGAAGTAGCATGTCCCAGCAGAGACTTTGTGACACAAACCCAGGCTGCTGCATTGAACTGAAGTAAAAGCACAAAAAGGTGAATAAGAGTCATTACATTACTTCCAAGATAAATCATCTCACCTGGACTTCAAGCCACAAGAAAGAGAAATATAAAATCGTGTGATTTTTGCCCTTTCAACAATTTGTATTCATACTGCGAAGCAGTATGTGCATTCTGAAAATTCCTGTATATATCCCCTGTCTTCCAGATAGCAGCAGAAACTGCTTTGAAACTTTTTAGTCCAGAATCAAAAATAACTGTGAATTTTTGAGCATGAGGCTCAATATGAAACTAACATTTAGGAAAGCAGGGCGGTTTGGGGTTTTCTTTGCTTTTCCCCCAGAGAAATCACATTCAACTGAATACCAATAATGCAGTTTCTGCATCAGTATGACAACAGGACAAATTTTTCAGAGTGTGGGAAGTATCTTTTCTTGCTATAATACTTGATGCTCCCACTCATTCTTGACCATACACCAGTGACACACCAAACCATACTCTAGTTCTCCATCCTTCCTCCCACCCAGCTCAGCCCTGCAATAAATCATGTCAGCACCTCTGTGCCAGTGTCAGAGTGAAGTCAGCCCAATTAGCTTAAACTGCTGACGAACGTCGGTTTTGCTAAACTGGACAACTTTGCACAAAAACAAGTGCTCACAGCATCTCTTCCAGTGGGTCTGCTGGGGAAGAGGGCAGCATCTTTCACAAGCAGCTGGGAAAGGGCAGCAACTCAAGATACCTCCATTAAACAAGAAAAATAATCAAGTGCCAATGACCTGAGGTTAAAAAAATAATGTGGCCATTTTTAATGGCTTCAACAGAGCAGAGTGGAGTTGAAGACCTGCAGAGAATCTGGCCCAGTGTCTCAACTTTCATTTATAAAAAAGAGAAACTCTGATTCTCTTTCATCTCACCCAACCATGAGCTTCTTTAGGTTTTTGACCAGTGCCTGTCTGACTTTTGACCAAACTCAGAGCATGAACACAATTCTGTGTGTGGTTGTTCTTCCCTGAAGCATCAAATGCACAAACCAGGACTTTCTTCTTGTCCCCAAAACAGGTGGACCTTTCTGAAATCTATTTTCCATTACTAAATTAGTTATTATGAAGGAAGAAAGGGCCTCTGACAGCATTAGATATACTGAAGAGTTTTCTTCCATGATGAGGGTTCTATGCCTCGATGAAACATGACCAAGTATTTTCTCTGGGAGTCTCTGTAGCATCAACACTACACACTGTGAAACATAACACTTCTTGTCAACATTTTCTTCATTTCACTTTTTTGGATGGAAACAAGGACAAATAGCAGAAGACAATTCTATTTTTAACTTCTTGGGGACTGTGTTTACAGGAGAAATGTCACAATCCTGAACAACGGGGCAAAAGTGGAGACCGTAACGTATGAGAAAGCTGCCTGGGCAGGCACAAGAGATGTAACCTCCTGAATTTTTTGCCTTGTAGGAGACTCAATCAGAAGGTAAGAATACATCACACTGACATCTCCCTATTCCCTCATTAGCCTGGAGGGTCAGGCCCTTCGGCAGCCGGGCATCCAAACACTACCAGTCTGATTAAAAACTCCACATTGTCAGGAAGTGAGTCAAAGAAACCCATCTCTGGATGATTTCTGTTGATATACTTAAATTATGCAGCTATAAGAATAAAGTTAGCCCCCATTAAAATTCAAGCTGATGGTGTATTTCATGCTCATTAGCTTTTACAAATATTTTTTTCTGTGATGGGTAATTGAAAGATGTGCATGGTGACTATCCCTGTGGTTAACCTTTAATTTCTTTCTTACTAAGGTTCACTCATATATTCAGTTTTGACAGGTACATTTTATTACTGATCCAAAAAGCTGACCTAAGCGAAGGTCCTAAGCACTATCCCAAACACTCACCCCCTACTTCATGTTTATTTCATAAGTTACCAGAAATGTTGTTTGTTCCACTCGGTAGCATTGTCTGCAAGTTTTCATTCCTAGTATTTTGTTGTTGCATTTTTTTTGGGGGGAAAGGATATGGGAGGGAGTAGTTTTATCTGTATTTTCAGTGTCTTGCCTCAGAAGCAAAAAGTTCCCAGGCTTGAACCTTCTAAAGAAATTGAGAGAAAAATCATAATCTAAATAGTTTTAAAAAGGGGCTTTTTGCCTCATTTTAAGCATTTCTTTATAGTTTTGTAACAGTATGCTAAGCACCAAGGAAATGAACCAGCTCATCAGATTGGTCATTAATGTTTAGCATTTTCTTTTTTACAGTCTGTTGCGTTTCCTCAGGACCTGACTAAAACTGATTTGCTGAGCTCCCTGGCTCAGCCTGGGGAATATTTCTTATGGACTAAAAAGAAAAAGTTATTTAAAATCTATTACTGCAGCTGCACTGGATGACTCAAGGGACTGGTGACATGGTATTGACCATTCCATCTAGGTTACCCGCTCACATTTAGTCCGACCTGGGGTGACCAAAAGCTACTGTCTCTGATAATTTACTAGTGGTTTACATGGTAGGAAATTACAGCCTTAAACCATTTCAGAGAGATGATTCTGTATCCCCCAACCTAGCAACAGATGCCATAATCATAGTGCTTTCCGAAAATTAATTTGCCTTAAAATGCACAATTAAAAAAGGAGGCCCTTTTCTGGAAATGCTGATCATCCAGAATCCTGATACTCCTGATAAAACGACTTACTGAGTCAATGTAGAAGGTGTTGGACCCCACGAAGGTGATGGCATCTTGCAGGTCATAGTTGTGCACCCCGTTCTGGTAATCCTGGTAGGGCATCACAGTGAGGGCGAAGGGCCCCACGCTGTGTTTGCTCCAGTTGGTCAACTTCACCTGCAGCGGGACGGGGTCGCCCACCTGGCAGTTCACCACGACATCACAGTCACAGAGCTGGCCATCAACAAGGATATCTGCAAATCAAGGAGACAGTTCCACATCAGGCTGGACATCTGCTTTAGAAACTGTGTTAATCTTGATGGGAAACTTAAAGAGGAAAAGTGACCTCGATGAAACCGAGAGTGCAGGACACTTAACTTTGAGAAAGGAAACACACCACTGTTGTCCTGTGTAGGGCAGTGCTACAGGGGACCTACTTGAAAAAAACCATTCATGAAGGCCTGATATCTGTCCACAGCTGTTGAAAGAGCTACGAAAAAAACCCAATTATGATCTATACACAGGCACCAGAAGATATTATTTTAACGCCCTCCCTTGAAGGCCAAAGCCACAGACAATTTCTCATGTTTCTCCAGAAAATCAACAGCATCAGATGAAGGGAAATACAAACAGTAACCATTAATACAAACGGATAGATCCAGGGCTGGATGCCCATGTTCACATGTTACAGCCAGAATAAATCCTCCTGTATGGAGGTGACCTTTTGGAGCAGGACAGTCACTGCCAGAATTTGCAATGTAATACATATATTAAAGTCCTGATTATAAGGAAAAAAGGGATTTCAAAATTATACAGCAGTACTATGAGCTTGTTCACTCTTTGCACTTTAATTCCTTCTGGGATTCCTATTTTTAACTCTCTACTTTTCTTTCCCTTTCTGGGATAGCAGAAAATATAAAGCCTCTAAATTGGTTACTGCTGGGACAATGACAACCAGAGTAATGTGTCCACTAACCTTGTCCATTTGCTTATACAGAACCAAAATGTTTCATTACCAACACACTAGGAAATTCTTAGTCCAATTCCCTGCTCTGAAAGGGTTCCCAGTTGTGCAGTATTACTGTATTTTTCAGATGAGGGTTATCTCCAATGCACTATTAATACAGGAACATTTCTATTTCACTACGGGTTCATGTTCAGAGATAAGAGAAAGCCCTGGGACATGTAAGAAAGCATCCTCTGTGTGAATACCTATCCCCACAATCTTATATGCCCATGAGGCATTTCCATCACTCCAGCTCCTCCTCAGTTCCTTGCCTTATGACATACATCATATTATTCCTTTGCCAACAGCATTGGATTTACATTAGTAATATCCTCTCTTCAAGGAAAGACACTATTTTTATGCTTCAGGAACTTTCACAGAAAAAAAAATAACAAAATGATTTTTTTAAAACTTATTTTTGTTTTGTTGCCTTAGACAAAAAGTACAAAATGATGCATGTTCTTGTGATGCCCTTTAGTCTGGCAAACTGAACAAGCCTCAGCACAGCCACTGGGAGAAAAAAAAAAAGAAGCTAATGCCAAAGAAGAAACAAGTTCAGAAAAGAACATTTATTCCACAGGTCAGATCAGCAAAGCTGAGCTACCCAGATGAAAACCTCTCCTTGACCAAAGCTGCCCAAATGCAGCAGCAAGTCCCAGATACAAGCGGCTTGGCAGAGCAAGCCCAAAAAAACCCTGCAGTGCTCAAACTGGAGCTATCCAAAACCCATGTCTATGTCCCAGTTGGAACAGCCCCCATTCCAAACCTTTCCACAGGAGCTCAGTTTTTGACAATGAGAGCACTGGTGAGGCCACATGTGGAGTGCCTGTGTCCAGTTCTGGGCTCCTCAGTACAAGAGAGACATGGACATACTGGAGAGCCTACAGTGTAGGGTCATGAAGAGGATTAAGGTATTGAAGCATCTCTCCTATGAGGACAGGTTGGGAATGTTCAGCTTGGAGAAGAGAAGACTTCAGGGGATCCCAACAATGTCTGTGAACACCTGGGGGGTGCAGAGAGGACACAGCCAGGTTCTTTTCAGCGGTGCCCCGTGACAGCACCAGAAGCAATGGGTGCAAACTGAAACACAGGAACTTCCCTCTGAACATCAGGAAACAGTTTTTACATTGAAGGTGACCAAGTGCTGGCACAGGTTGCCCAGGGAAGTTGTGGAGTCTCCATCCTTGGAGATACTCAAAAACCATCTGGACATGGTCCCTGGCAAGAGGCTTTAGGTGGCCCCACCTGAACAGCAGATAGGACCAGACGATCTCCAGAGGTCCCTGCCAATCTGAACCATTCTCTGATTCTGTGAAAGGAAGTTACAATCACCACTGCATTTTAGGAAAGGGCTAGAAAATTGTTTTGGAGTTGGATTTCTTTTGCAACAGCACACTCTAATCTATGGGCTCTCCTGCCCGACAGGATCAAATTGCTCCTTGCAGTATTGCCCTAAGATCGTGGAGGTGAAGTAGTGGTTATAATGGTATCCCATTATCTGGGATTAACTGACTTGAATTTTTCAAAACACAGAAATGTGTGTCTGTGGATAACCTTAAAGCTTCTCAGTCTCCTGACAGAAAACTGAACTCCAGTTGCTTCCTTCAAAAGAAATGTGTTTATAGCAATTCATTACTTTATATCAGTTCGTGTTTTCAAGCTTCTCCCTGCAAGATGAGTCCTTTCATTAACTAAAAAAGAAAAAACAAAACCACTTTTTTTTTCTGGTTCCTCTAGCCAGTGGGTAGCTTCACAAAGGGTTAGCTCCCCAGACCAGCCTGAACCTTCAGAAATATTCCATGGAGTATACTCCACTCACACTTAGTGGATGAATCCTTATTTTCAAGATGCTCATCAACTTTGCTTTTAGCTTTAAAATTCAACGCACTGCTGTACGAATTGTAAATGAACCCTCTGCCCTCTGTCTCTACCGTTGTATCTAATAATAGCTCAGAGCACTGCTTCCTAATATCTTCATGAGAAAACAGAAAATCCAAACAAAAGGGAAGCAATTAAGTCTGGCTCAACCAGATTAATTTTCTTTTGTATCCCTAAAAAAAAATTCAATTCATTTAAGATTGATTCAAGAGCATGTGTGCACACGTGCTTGTGTATATATTGAGAGATAATTTCCTTCCCCTCCAGAACACACTTCCCTCCTGCAGAACCGAAGCCAAGGATCTCAATGAGATGTCAGATGAGAAAGCACACATGGCTGGCGTGCAAAATACTATGGAAAGGAGTGTTTAAAAACAGTCCCCTTTCATCAGGGAGAACAGCTTGGTTTGACAGGCAGTTTTACTCCCTTCCTGACACAGAAAACATCTCATGGACCATACGGATTTGCTTTAATATTTTCATCCATGAACAGAGGAAAAGCCATGTGTACAGGGTCCCATTTCTGCAGATTCAGCTCACTCACACAGATGGCATATAAAAGCTGAGACTGCTCACACCACTGCTGTGAGAATGAATCATTATTGGCTTTGGAATACAGGAGCTCTGAATCAGATGATACAGTTACTAGCACAGAAGACAGTCGTGGCTGTATCTCCATCCTCCAAAGATTCAGAAATGAGAGAAACAGTACTTCAGAGAATTAGAAGGACCAAGTTTAATTCAAACAGAATATATAAATTACATTTCAAAAGTGGGAGCAAAAAATCTGGCTGCCAGAGGGGAAAAAAAAAAACCAAAAAGACCTAGAAATCTCTCGATCTCCTTCTAACTAAAAGTTAAATAATTTTAAAAGTAATTTAATAAGCCAACAGAATGCTGTCCCTCCCTTTCCTGTTCATTTACCTACAATGTCCCCTACGTTGGCATCCTTGGGTGCCAAACTTACCCTGCAATGCTTGATAGCCATGAAAAAAAGGACAGACACAGTCTCTGCCTTGCACCTATGAACAGGCACAGGACCACTCTATTTTATCTCTAGGACATTCTCTAAGTGATTATTGTATGAAGGGAGAAAACGTTGTCCCACACATTTTGGAAGGCAGAGGATAAGCTGATACAAACCACTGAGAAGGGTGATTGGAAAGCCTTGCTTTTTCTTTGAAAGCCTTAGCCAAGCCTTTTATGATCTCCATGAATTAATCTTTAAGATGGAAAAACTAATTCCTGGCCCAGGTGACGAGTGATGCTTATTGACACCACAGGATGTCTGGGAGACCATTCTATGAAAATAATACATCACAGTTCTTATAATGTCTTTCTTTCAGGATCTCAGAACTCTCAAGAAAAGAGAATGAATGTTGCTAACAGGAAGACAACGACTATTCCACAAGAAAAACATCACCTACCATCACCTGCCAGGTGCACTTCTGTCTACATCACCCAAAGGAGCTACTTGGAAATGAATGTCAAACACTAATAACATTTTGTGTTATTTACTCTGCTCATATTAACACATTGTAAGTTGTTCTTGCTACTTTGTCAAGTTTCCATGAGAGAACTCACAACTCATTGTCCACCTGTACATCCAGAGTCCTGAGTCACAGTTAATTGCATTTCTGCACCTAAATCCCCATCTGCCACTGTCAAAGTTTAATTTTGGAAAGCTGCACGCAAATACATTTAACCTTAGTGGAAATGCATATTCCAACAATGTTTACTCTCCTCACTCATCCTTGGGCTGATTTTAAAAAAACAGGTTGCAGAGGAAGGCAGGGTGGTTTTGCCCATTGTTACAGTGGGGGATGGAGACATTTCCATTTGGTATTTCCTTTTAAACTGGATGTTGAATCTCCAGCTAATGTAGTTGCACTGGTCTCTGCCATTCACTGCAGCTGGCCCAAGACTTCCAGTAAACACCTCACAGAGCAATGGTTTTGTCCAAACAAGTAGGCCAACAAAGCTCAAGGCATGAAATGCCCAACTGAGTAAATACTTAGCACATACAAGATAAAGGAGACCTTTAAGCCCAGAAAAGCAAGCCTTGCCTACAGTTACTGTTAGGGTACTTTATCAATTAACGATTGTTATGCTGTTAGAATTGTTCCAAAATACTAGTTTTACTCATCTCTGCCTGTGAACCGGGAGAGACGTGGTCTGTGGAGGAGAAAGGAGCAGCAAAAATCAGTGACATCTCTTGATAATGTCCATCAGGTACTTTTATAGAGGAAAGCCAAAGACCAAGAGCCCAAGCCAGAGTTGCTGGAATGGTCTCACAGAATGATTCGGTTTTTCTGTGTTCAAAAAACCTAAAGTGCTGATTAAATTTTTTGCCCAGGCCAACTTTACTTCTAATTGCCCTAAAAGAGCAAGGGAAGGGCCAGCCCTGCTGTCTGGAAAAACTTCTTCAGTTTTCTTTTTTTCCCCTGCCCTTTTCTTCAAGAATGTTTGTTCAGGGTTTTGCAAGGAATTTAACAATGCAAAGAGAACTCCTTTTGAAATCATTTATTCAGAAATACGTTGAACAATTCTCTCCATTTCTGATCTTACATTTTATGCAGGTGAAAGAAAGATCAGAAAGGAGGAAAAACCTGTACTACAGGCAAACTCTCTGTACAGAGCAAGCTGATCCTGTCTCCAAACAAGCACATTCCCTGTCCCTCCTGTCATGCTTCATGTCAGTTTTAGTAGCCTGGTTTTGGGGTTCAATCTCATTATGGCAGCTTAGAGGAGAAGGTGATGTGGTGTTCTGTTGAGGTGATAGGATCCTTGAATTTGTTTGTCTGTCTCCTCCAAAATATGAAACCAAACACTGTTTCTGTTTCCCCTTTTTGCACTTGTTCTCCCTAGTGGAGTCCAGTCTCCTTTCATTTTCCAAACTGTTCATGCAAATTATTTGTGCACAGAGATGTAGCATTGGTTAAATTCATTTGTCCATGATGAGGTCTTGCAGTATTTTCAGAGCTGAATACATCCATACAAAAGATATTTCTATGAATATAAAAATTGTGTTCCCTGTCATTCTCATCATGAAAGCGCTGAATGGTTATTTAATAACATAAGACCCTCACAGCTACTTACATAAAACCTTCTGTATGTGATTTGGACTTGCTCCTCACACCAAACCTGAGCATCTTAGCTTGGAATGCTAAGATCTCCTGCTCATCTCCTGCTCATTTATTGTTATACTGACACAATACTGAGCCAAATCCACCCCCTGCTTAATTTCCCTGCAGTCAGTAGTAACAGAGCACAGAGGTGTACAGATGTTTGTGTTGCAACAGCTTTAAATTACATGGATATCTCACCTTGTCAACCACTGCTAGTTCTGTCCTAAAAACTGCCATAACACTCAGAGCCTGCTGATCCCAGACCCCTATGGACCTGAAGAGTTCAGCTCCTCTTCTGGTCAAGGCTCTTGGACAGTGATGAATAAAAAACATATGAACAAACTATTGCAGCTTTCTGAAAGTACCAACAACCCAGAGACCTTCAGCCAACATAAGGGCACAAACATGAAAACAGGAAAGTTGGCAGAGGACGGGATGACTGAACATGAACATACGCTGGTGAAAAGCGGCAATTGCTTTCACAAGACCTCTGAGCTGCCCAGTTCCTGGCAGGCTTCCCATTCCCAAACATTTTAGAATTGAATTAAGGACACTTTATTCACTCCAAAAGCAATTAAAAAGAAAAACACATTTAAAATATAGTTCTAGCAACAATAAGCAATTAGTCTTTGATAATTGTCTGTGTCTTCCTATTTAATCACTCTCTTGCAGTGGCCAGTATGCTGATGACAGATCCCAACTGGTCCCATTATCCTTCCTGCCAAATTGCTTCCAGTTTGTGTCTGTCCTTAACTCTGTGATGACAGTGGACTGAGGATGCTGCAGCATCCCATAGGACTCACTTGCAAAAGGATTCTTCAACCTTGACATTTGCCCTGAGTGAGCTTTCTTCCTCCAAATCAATATAATGTTTATGTCCAATTTTAATCTCCAAGACACGTGATCAGCATTCAGTTTTAGTGCTCCTTGATCTCGGTCCTAAACACCAAGATGTAGTACAACCTTCTTCAATTAACTTGAAATACCAGGGTCACGCTGGTTGAGGAGGGAAGCATGAACATGACTAGTGCTCTGGGGCTTGGATTCCTCCAACTTCCACTTGGGATCTTAAAACCTGAATGCACATGAACCACAGATTTATTTAAGAAATGACTCAGTTCAGTGTAACCTCCCTGGCTTTGGTGGGAGTTATTTTACTATGCACATGCCTTTTATGACAGACATTTCTCCTTCCCTGTGAAATTGTTGGCACATGAATGGCACCCGCTTGTCTCATTTCTCCTCTGGCAGCCAAGATAACCTGTGATTTGGTGATTTGCCCAATTCGCTATCAAGTGAAAATCACTTTAGAGTTTATACTGCTTGTGTCTAGTCCTAATCTAAATGCTCAAAGGCAGATCCCTAAAATTTTAAGATGCTCAAAGCTCTGTTTTTCAGTAAACTCCTGAAAATTCCTGAACTCCTTTTGACTTATTTTAAAATATTCCATGACATGGTACCACCTTACTGAAATAGTCTCATTTCTGAATGTGGGCCAACCTTTTTTTATCTGTTCATCACAAGCAGGTTTGACAAAGACTTCTTTTTATTATCTGCTACATAGCCAGGAGGTCAGGCTGGCATACGGTGCATGCCGGTGTTTGAAATTTCACAATCCTGGGATTTGCATGTTATTTTAGGTTACTGAAAACTTTATAGTTTGTCTCTGTCAGGACTACTTTCAGAGCATTCTTACCATGCCCTGTGGGGGAAAAAAAAGGGGGGGAAAAAGCCCTATATTACATTTAAGCAAAACCAAAACATATTAGGATATATCATATAACACTGTTTTTTGTATACTGGCAGCTTTGTGCAGAACCACTGCAAGAATGAACAGAATTATAGAATATCCTGAGTTGGAAGAGACCCACAAGGATCACTGAGCCCAACTTCTGGCTCTGCACAAGACAAACCCAAAAATCACCATAACATGACTTAACCTACAGTACATCGTTCCTCACTGGTTGCATAATGACACTTGACATTTTCTTCTTTTTTCTGCCATTCTGCAGTGATGGATGTGAGACAAAGCTCTCCTTCTACAGAGAATATTTCGAAAAGCCTCATACCAACTGTGTCAGAGTTTTTGACTTGAGGCTGCAAAAGTTAGCGGTAGAAAAGGAGACAATAGCACTTCTGTGCTAGCTTAGAAGTTTGTCTCAACCTCAAAGCAGGTTTAGTCTAGACACTAGATAGGTTGCAGACCTCCAGGGAGTGTTACCTGCTCTAGAAATCAGTGATAAGGGTGGTGATTCTGGCACACTCCCTATGGAGATGGCATTGAGCTAGCAACTGGTCACAAGAGAATTAATACCTACTTAACAGCAGAGACACAAAACTGGGCTCCTGTACTCAATTCTGTGCATGCAAAGTCAAATACGTGGCTTCAGCCACGCAATTTACTTACCAAAACTCTCACAGAATATGTAAATATGGAAGCAGAATTTGTTTTTATGTATTTTCTACCATTTCAAGTGGAAACAGTATTTTCTGCTTTATCCATTCAACAGGCACAGTGGTGCTCTGAACTCTTACCCAGATACAGCATCATACCTAACAGGTAAACTAACAGGTACTTCTTTTTTTTCAAAATTGCTAGTTAAATAAACACAATGTGCAGTATAATTGTCTTATTTGAGGCCTGAAGGAACTCAAATGCAGATGAGAAGAGAGATGAGACAGCCAGTAGGTATCTCCATGCCTAGATGTATAGAAACACCAGTGTAGGATGTTTTAAGAAAGCAAAAAAAACCTTATACTGATTATTTAAATAAAAATTATGTGTCTTTGCCTCATTTTCCATGCTTATCTTAAAAAAGAACCATGTAATATTGCATAAGATGTCCAGGCTGTAAGAATTTTCGTGTCCTTGTAGATCAGTCAAAGCCTGGTACGAGATAATATATAACCCCCTATTAACAGGCAGGTAGATGATTTACCACATTTCAGTGGCTGTGTAAATATGAGCAGTAGGACACTGAGCCTCACAGGCCTCCTTTAGCCCAGCCATGACTGCAAGCCACTGAGCTGAGCTAAATGAGAGACATTAAACAAGCCCAGGTACAAACGCTGCGATCACGGGCGGCACTTTCTGTCCAGGGAAGGTGTGACGTGTGCTTAGCAGACCACATGTGCCCAATGTCCACAGACCAGAGCTGCTGAAAAGCAGAGGTGCACATCAAAATGGATACATTCTTCATGAAGTCTCTTCGAATTTCAGTCACAGCATATTTCAGTCTAATAACTCTAAGTTGTTTTACTTACCAACGGATTGAGTTAATTTTTTTCCCATTTTCCCTACATATGATGTGTCCACTTTTGCATTAAGATATGAGACAATAATCCAGGCAGATGTGAGCTGGAAACTATCAAGCCCTACTACGATGCTGTGACTTCTTTATTCTGATTGCATCCTGCTTCTATATCATGACCTGTCTCAAAATCCAATTTGAATCCACAAAAGAACTACAGTAATAGATATATGCAGATGGAAGTTTTCAGTCATCCTCTGTGACATAAATCCATATTTTTCCTTATTAGATTGGATATGAACACTCAAATAACAATCAGAAAACAACAAATCTCTAAGCCTAGTGTCATCAAACCAAACAAATTTTGGCCTTTCTCTGAGATATTTCTGTTAATAATTTACTACTTCTAAAACTGAACATGCTCAAAACCTAGCTCCTGAATTTTTCATGAAGTCCTTTCTTCTCCATACCTTTCTTAATTTCAGAAATAAAATCAGACTCTTTCCTGCCAATCTCGGCTTTCACTTTGACTTGATCTCCTCTCATGACTCACACCTTCAGTCTCTGATTAAACCTGATGCCACTTTCTACAAAACTTCTCCAAATCTGACCTTTTCACTCTGCCTACATTGTCAAACCCTCGTCCAAAACCTAACTGGATCACAAGCCTTAACAATTAAAATCTCTTCATCTCTGGTTTTGACACTAGTTGCCTTCTTATTCTCCTGAAGACTTTGTATCAAAGACCACCCTGTAGGTCTGTGACCTGGCTATGTCCACATGGCACCTCGCACAGACTTCATTCCCAGCCTGTCTGCTTTCCAGCTATAGCAGTAGAGTACAGTCCGGGCTAAATTCCCACATACTGATCCATCTTTTCCCATGCAAGCTGAAACCTGTTGCTGAGGTCACACAGTAATACCCACAGAAACCTACTGGTTGTGCTCACTGATATCTGGGGTCTACAACTTGTGTGCAAAACTACTTCTCTCTTATTACTCTGTCATATTTTACCTATTCCTCCTCCCTGCTAATCTTTTTTTTTTCCATATGGCATTTATACTTCTATAGCATGTAACATATATAGAACCAGACTATAAGCTCTTAGGGACCACAATACTCATGCTCCTAAGAGCTTGGCAGAACAATTTGTATGACACCTGGAACTATGCAGAGCTATTTTCCTGGGATATGAAGACAGCAGTGCCAGAGAGTCAGAAAAAATTTTAAAAAATCTTAAATAAATTAAAAATGTCTTTATATCTCAAATCTCAAGGCTATCTTGGTGAGGCAAAGTGAGCACTGTACCAGTTCTCCACATGGGAACACTGAGACATTTCAGGAAGGAGTTAACCTGATCTGAGAAGAGCAGATAGGAGTTTTCACTGAGCAGAAATAAATGCGTAAGTTACCAAACAGAACTGAGAGGGAAAGGGGACTTCCAGAGATAGAGAAAAACATCTTAATTGTAAGCTTTCAAAATCCCCATGCTGGCTCATCGAGATACCAACTCCTTATGGGAATAAGTTTAAACCAAAGGTAAAACCTGAGGATTTATAGGACATGCAGGAAGGGGTAGAGAGGATAAAAGGAAACTCAAACATAAAGAAAAGTAAACTGAAATAAAAATAATGCTATTTAAAGG